ACCCACGAAGCATTATAAAAGAAGCCCTTCGATACTTATCAACAAGTACTCGATTGTAATTCACGGGAACCTACACAAGCTGTTGATCATTTTTCTTAATGATTAATGAAGCAATCTTTGCCCGAGATTTCATCTGCTTTTGTGTCAAATTGATATTTTGACATCACAATATCCCAAAATTTTCTTATCTTTGTTTCTCGTCTACATTCTTTGGAACACAGCACTCACGAAATCCTTGAGGCTCTGAGTAATACCAACTCAGACTGATGATTTCAAACTTCTGGCATATGACTTCGCTTTTCATCCCAAAAGTGAAAGAGCCTTGCTTCCATACGAAGGGTTCTGACGGTTACAATCTTCTTGGGGATAACAATACAGGCTGTTTATAAATGACGTATGGTATTCTGTCCGGTTTTCAAGGAGATGTGACATCTACTTTTTGAAGCATGGCTACTTTTACGCAGTAATGGTCCGATTTTCAAGGTGCCATGTCGGATATCATTAAATACATATCCCGCTTCAAATTCAAACTTCAGGGTTACATATAAAAGGGGAATTCAAGGGTTCATTATCAGTTTACACGATCAAAAAGAAAAATTCCCAAATGCTTTGATCATCAAAGTCTTCAAACCCTAACAATAGCGACTAATGTTCATGTTGATGTTGATCCTTCTCAAACCACTGAAGATGTCTCTTCATTACCAATAATGAAGATTCAAGCAACAAACTATTACTTGGAGGGTGATTTTTCTCAATACCCGGAAGAATTGAAGATGCTAATCGTTGCCTTGAAGAACTCTGTTTTGTCTAAGGCGATGTTCAGTTCATTCTCTATTCCAATGTCATGGCTTTCTCAAGCAGGATCAACTACTACTTACAACAAAGCTTCTGATACAATTACTTTCCATCTCGTGAATGACAAAAAGGTCAGGATATCCAAGAAACTCTTTTGCCAAATTCTTGAAATTCCGAATTCACCTCCATATGTTGCTTTCACATTCCCTCAAATCGTTAATATGTTTAATGAGATGGGATATCAGCCTCCACTATCAAAGATCAGTGATTTTAAGAAATCTGGTCTTCCACGACTATGGAATTTCTTATTTGGTATTTTTCTAAGATGTATAACTGGGCGAACAGTTGGTCTTGATAAAGGAAGAATGGAGGTTTATGCAATGGTTCTAGTATATATTATGATCTTCAAGTGGACTATTCTACACAATTGTGGAAGGAATTCCAAAAGCGTGTAGAACACACTAATGCTATTCATGGTATTTCGTGTGCAAGATACTGGAGCTTGATTTTGCAATACTTTTACAACAAGGAAGGGATTTTGGTACCCAATGATGAGGGAAAAGTTGTTTTTCAATCGTATCACTATCCGAAGGAAGTCACAGATAGTGCTGAGGATTTTCCATCTGTTGCTCGTATTCCTGATGCTATGCTCAAAAGAGTTGATCCGTCGAATTCAGTCTTAGTGCCATATTTGCAAACTATTGATTCTACTGTTCCAACTGGGAAATTGTTGCCAAGGGAAGAAAAGAAATCTAAACGATCGAAGAAGACTGAACCGGATTCTTCTGAAAAGCACACCAAGATTTCGCAATCTTTGAAATCTCCAAAGAAGAAGCCAGTTACAGTTGAAGAGTCTGTGGTTCAAGAAGTGTCAATTGCAGAGACTCAAATAATTAAACCTGTTGTTCCTGAGTCTCAAGAGAAAGTGGTTATTCCTTCGAAGACTGGTATGTTTCGAAGAATCAAAAATATGTCTTCGCATCTACGTAAGTCTCCAACATCTTATGTAGTACGAAAGCCTCAGGTTACTCATCAAGGTGTTTTGATTCGTGAAATGCCACCGCCTGTTTCTCCATCATCAAAGAAGCCAAGGGCTACAGATATGGCTAAACACATATCTAAGAAGAAGAAGAAGAAGACACGAAAGCTTATGCTTTCTACTGAGTCTACAAAAGATGATGATGAAAGAATTCCTGAAACACCAGACGTCACTCTTCATGTACAAAGTTCAACTTTAGAGCAGACAATCGCCATACCACCCGAAGATTCGGTTGCCAAATCAGTTTCTGAGGAGGTACGAACTTCAGGCATCCCTGCAAACGTATCTGATACGGATGCAAATGTCAATATGGGTGACGGAGATGCGAAGAATGAAGCTCAAGGTCAATCTACCTCTGCTCCCTTCGAAAGTATTGTTTCTTTACCAGCATCCATTATTCCCATTACATCAACCACATATTCCCCTACATTCGAAAATATTATCAATCAACCATTTACTTCTATTTTTTCTTCTCAATCCACTGACACACCCAAACCTAATTCGACTGTTTAAGAAACCATTCTTATGGAGACAGAAACTGATATTGAGGGGTTTGGAGGCATGTTTGAGGAATTGGAGTTTCATGAAGACGAAGAGGCGTTTCCAGATCATATGCGGATGACCATGAAGCAATTGAAAGTTCTGAATCAGAAGTTGAATTCTATAATTCAATCTCAAGCTGATCTGGGGGGTGGTTCGTCTGTTTCAAGTTTGAAGGTTGAGTCTATGTTGAAATTGTTCGAAGCTAGAGTTATGAGTAAAGTATTTGGGATGCTTACCGACTCTGAATCATGAATTTTGGAGAAGGTTGATCATAGTGATCAAAATAATGAACTACAGATCAATTCTCAAAATTCAAAGTTTGCCAGAGATGTGAAAGAATTGAAGAATGTAACAAAGAAAAGGCATGTTCTCTTTGTTCAAGAAGTGAAGAAAGTCAGGGAGGATGTTAATTTGCAAATTCGTGAACTCCGCGAAGATATGCAAAAAGAGATTGCAAGTGTTCAACAAGATTATGCATCTCTGAATCAGAAGGTTGATATTATTTGTAATGCTGTCACCAAGTTTGCCAAATTATATGAAAGTTTGAGTCCTCAAATTACTCAACTTTCAACAAACGAAAATGCCAACTTTTTGGAAGTGATTACTTTGTTAAAGGAGTTAAAAGATCTATCAGTCCAGCCGGTTTCTTCTTCCCTGATTACTCCTGAATTTTTATCTCAAAATTTCTTACAATTCGAAGCACTTCTCAACAAGCAACTTGCTCCTATATTTCGCATTACAAGCCTTCTTCCAACAACATATGCCCCACCTGTTTTCACAGGGGTGCAAGGGGGAGAAAGAAAAACTGGTGAGTCGAAGGTGAGTGATGAAGATGCGAAAGTTGTAGGAAAGGTATTTTCTTCAAAGATCCCAACAACAAAGCCAGTTATAGTTTCTGCTGGGCTAGTTACTTCAACAGTCGTTACAACGATACCTATTACAAGACCTATTTCGAAAGCAATTGTGATTGGTAAATCTGCGGAGACCGGTGAGAGTGGTTCGAAACCAAAAGAGGTAATTGAAAGATAAAGGGAAATCGACTGTTGTGGGAAAGTCAAAAGAAGAAAAGAAGGATGAGGCAAAAGCTGAAATTGAAAAACTAAGGTTGATTCAAAGCATTATGACTCAGCGTGCTAGTGATCCGAAGGGAATGGACAAAGGTGATCCATCCAAACACTACAATTACGAAACAATTGAGGCCAAGGTAGCGTATAATCACATGTATTCGTTTGAGAAGAAACCAAAACAAAGTTATTTGGTCACGAATACTGATACAAGCCAGCTGGATTTTCCAATGAACGAAATGATGTTCATCATGCCTCAGTTCAAAGCAGAAGGAAATTTTAAAGAAAAGGATGAAGGTACACACATGAAAATTCGATTTCATGCTGTTCTTGCAAAAGCCCCTGAGGAAGTTTGGTCTTTGATAAAGATCAAGAAAGTTATAAGTATGAAAAAGGATGTGGTGTTCGAAAACACAGTCCAGAACATCAAGTATGTGGTTGGCAGGGCAAATGGAATTATTTGCGAATTTATAATTGCAGATTTTCCATTAATGAACTTGTATGATCTTATACAAGTTGCATTGATTTTGAAAGATAAATCATTTTCGCATCTTCAAAACACTGAACCGGAAGAATTCAAGCTTGGGGTTGCTCACATCAAGATTTTCATCGAAAATTATTATGAGTGCTTGGCACTAACAGATGTGGAGTTAGCTACAGCTAAAGGAATGGAAATAAAAGCACCAATGGCTCCTACGAAGACTCAAGCAGAATTGAAAAAGTATGATGATGGTGAAATCTGTTTGATGCCTTTTTGAATGGTCTTCGCAGGAAAAGACAAAGCTGGAAAAGCTAAACGTTTCTTATTCCAAGCATGCGAAGTGGAGAGATATTCAAGATCTCAATATATGAACTTAATTGTTCGTATGAATCATTGTAGGAAGAATAATGAATGAGATAAGAAAGAGCTGAAGAAGATAATCTCCTGGTACACGAAGATTCGAAGAGTGATGTTGTATTCCATCCAGCTTCTTACAAATTAAGTAGTTCGACTATGATTACAAAGGGGGAGATTTTAAGGGTCGAATTGTTGTAATTAGTCGAAATATATTTTGCCTCTTCGAAAGTTTTGTAATGTATTTTACTAAGGCGCTTTTATTCGAAACTTAAGTGTCTATGCCTTAGTATGTTTTTTGTACGCTTTCTGTTCCCTATAAATAGGGATATTTACTAGAGTTAGATAAGAGTTTTTACAGACCTGTCTTTGTACTCTGTAAACATTCGAAAGCGTAATAGAGCTGAAACAAGATCATATTTACATCTGGTGTTCAATCTCGCATTCTTAATTGATTTCATACTCTGATTCGTTTTATACTTGATTCTACGATTCATCAAAATGTGACCATTATTTACATTTTGTGATACATAAGTGATAAAATCATTACATTTTTTCTAATTAGTATGACTATTTGTTACCCTTTAGCTATATTTAATCGTGTAATCGTGGTCCTAATTAAGATTTGGTCACATTTATGAATGACATGTGGACAATATTAAAATGTTTCAAATAGATATATACAGCAGTAACAAGAATAAACGAAAATAATGTTAATCATTAATCCAGGTTAAATAGTATACACAAATGTTGTAAGCAAAATATGCTTACCATGTATACAAACATAAAATGAAATATAAGTCATAAACTAAAAAGATCTTGTTATCGCTTTATATTCTTATTAACAATGCTCCTTGTTTTCTTGATATCTTGTGGTGTCACGAAAAAAACACCCTATATCAGCATTTTCCAACATAAAGTAAGATCTAGCCATCATCCATAGAAAAAAAATTAGAAGACTGATATATCCTTTTCAAACATGAATAAAATTCTAGAACATATGAGTCCATATATGTATCAAGTGTATTGCAAATTAACGAAATAAAGCACCTATTATCAACATTTTCCCTAATTTGGGATCCAATGGAAGCATTGCTAGATATTTACTTATATTTAAAAAAAATGAGAAAAGATAATATTAGGAAATAAACTTGTATAGATATATACTAACCAATGTGTGTAAGATGTTCGCATTCATCTAATGCTCCAATCATCTTTACGAAATCCACATCATTTGGACCTAGAACAAATTGAAGTTAGAATTTAGCAACTTAAATCAATAATTAGGGCATAGAGATAGAGATTCAAGAACAATGATCTCTTTAAATTCTTCTTTTGTTGTGAGTGTCCTCCATTTGAAACAATCATTACATTACACAGAAAATGTTAATGAGTCAACAGAACTCTAAGGTGAGCCCCTCACACCTGCAAAACACCCACATCAATCATGGAAACAATTCTTACATACAAAATACTTTGATCAAATAAAACCAAATCATCTTCAAAAGCCTACAAATCCATACATGACAAAAGGTAAAAAGATAACTGTAAGAACCTTGATACAAACTTACTTGCAAATAATGTCTAGTTTACAACTATGAAAAGAAATTAAAGACCATATTTTTTGATACACACCACATGACCGTCAAGAACAAAAGACATTTAAACCCAACTTGGTGTTTTTCATGTATAGAATTGATACATGCTTTATAAAAAATTGCACACCAAGCTAATATATCAGAGATTCATGTATTCAGCACACAAGATACAAGATATAGGCTAGTAAAAACCTAACCTTCGTTACTTGTGCAAGTGAAGTCAGGCTTCTAGATCCACCCCAACTGCCATACAAGAAAAAAAACTACAAGAAATAAGCTAGAAATTGAAACTATTTAAACAGATATAGAATACCTACAATAATATTCAAAATTTGGTCAAAGATTATGTAATGAATTGACCTTAGCTGATCAATTGCAATCACCCTGAAGTGTTTGGCAAGAGTGTAGAAATTTTTAAAAAAGAAACCTTAAGAAGTTGCATACCAATGGATAGGTGATAGGTGTTGATAAATCTTGATTCATTTCTAGAGGAACGAAACCACCTGACCTTAGATCTTGGTGGGGTAGATCGGATATCATTGAAAACAATATGTATGTTCCTGTTATGAACAGAACATGCATTTCCTGTTATGAGCCATTGAACAATTATGAACAGTAGACATCAATTGAAATTATAGGCAGAAAATGAACACATATGATTTCAATTACTGAACTCAGGGGAAAAAGGGAAAAATAGATGCAATGCAGATGAACGAAAGACACTAGCAATTGATATACATCTAAAATTTGCAGACAAACAGACATTTTGATTTCAACAATCACATAATTTCGATTTCAACTAAAATCGGGGGGGGGGGGGGGGGGGGGGGGGGGAAGGAAATCGACAGCAGGCACAGTTGAACGAAAGCAGGAAGGGATAAGGAAAATCGCACCTAAATCGAATATGTGGTGTGCGATGGTCGTCAGTGTTATTGGCTGCGACGTATCCGGCGATTATAGTTGGCGACGAGCAATCAACGATGAGCAATTTGGTATCGCCTGAGGAAGCATACTACAGAAAATTACAAACAAACAACAAACTCAAATCAAACTGCAAACTTAAAAAGAAATCAGCGATTGGGGTTTTTGTTACAATTCGCTGGATTTCATTTTCGGTTATTGAAATTCATCTTCTCATAGTAACGAATCGAGAGAAAAGATAGAGAAAGTTGAACCTCGTCTTTTTCCCAACGAGTTTTCGCAGCGGTTGTGGTAGGCTTCGACGGAACAATTGTACGCGTCGGTGGTAGACACAGCCAAGCCGACGAGGATGCGACAGCAGCGACGGTTGAAGACGACGATGAGGTAGCGGCGGAGGTGGAAGGCTTAGATAAAGGCCATAAGTAATGAGAGTGGAGTCGCCGGAAGAATGGAGGCTGCGTGTGAAGCATACGAACGAAAACCTTTTATTAGGTTAAGGCATATGGCTTGAAAACCTTTTTATTATGTAAAAAACGACCCATAAGTCAGTTGTGAAAAACATAAGTTAAATAAATTTTGTTCAAATTAACTTAAATTCAAATTTTTATTTAAATCATATGGAGGGAACAGGAAGGAGATCGAATTTTTATGAAATTAAGTGGGTGAATATATGGAGGGAAAAAAAGGTTAATTTTAGAGTACGTTACATGCATCGATCCCATGTATTGTCTTAAAAGATACATTCGGTCTTTCTTTTCAAAAAATAATTTGAATCATCCCTTGTGTGGTTAGAAGTTGCATATTTCAACCTATGTCATACATAAAATTACTATATTTACCTTTTGGTGATAGTATTTGTCATCTATGTGAGAAAGATAGGGAGAGAAGCCAAGGCCTCCGACGGTAGTTGATGATGGGCAGTGAACGATGGTTTTTGGGTCCTTTCATTTTTTAATGGTGTATGATCTGGTGCAATTAAAAGAATAGATGACAAAAAGGGCAATTTGGTCTTTTCTTATAGCTCTTATTCAATACAACTATATTGTTATTTGCTTTTGTTTTTATTATTTATATTTTTTTTTGGTTTTTTCGGAAATTGTTTCTAACTTTACAAAATTGTCATTCAATTTTTTTCATTAATTTATACAACCCTTTAATTGCAAAAAAAGCAATGTATTTTTGTAAAATGACATGATTCAACTTTTTGTTCATTTTTTATTCTGCCAAATAATATCAAAGATAAAAATGGTCAAATTTATGAGTCATTTTTTGTATAATAACTTAACCAGGAAACAATTTCAGTTTTACAGCAACAAATTTTCATTTTATAAAGACTATTCTTTAAACTTACAAATACAATAGTACAACCAGAATGAACATTACATAATTATAGTAACATATTCAATGAACGACCCCTAATTATACCGATAAGACAGTATTGTTCTTTTATAACTATATTTACATATAGACACATATAATAGTTGTAATTATAACTAAATGCTACCTACACACACAATATTTGTTTCTTCTCAAAGCCAATTCATCATATTTTGACACACATAATAAAAGGTACATGACCATAAACAACCAATACTAACTTGTTTTCTTTTATTGCGTTAACTAAGTACAACTAGTATAGAACCGCCCTATGGACACACAAATATTTAGTGTGACCATATGTATCACCTTTTAGCTACTTTGTATGTTATGTGTCTAAAAAGGCACCAGGTTATAGACACACATACAACTGACTCATGTCACAATACGTTTATCTACTGTCTTTCATAAAAAAGTATGACAATATTAATCGATACATGTGGCTGATTGTGACCTATGGCCTCAGTGTTCGAGTGTGACTAATATTTGTTACATTTGGTATAATTAAGTGTGGTTAAAGTTTTTATTATCTATATAATGGCCACACAAACTAATTTAAATGTATCCAAAAATAGTCTCTAAATTTTTTTAGTGACCTTTCGTCGCACTTTTTATAAAAAGGGTCACAGGCTGTTTTTCGGAAAGTGTGACCGTAGGTCATTTTTGTACTAGTGTTGGTTTGTGTTTGGCCCATAATGCAAGGTTTGTAAACCCCATTCTGCCTTGTTATGAGTGTTTTATGCCCCCGAAGGGTGCATAACAGTGCTTTATAAAGTTGTTACATCACTCACCCTGGTTAGGGTTTAGAATCTCTTAACACATGAAACATCTGAGTGATACATTGTATGAATATGGAGAGTTGTACATTAGTAAACATAGAATAAACCCTAACATACGAGCACTAGTTAGGTTTACCTATTCGACTCGATGACTTTGACTTGACCAGAAATTTATGGTTGTCACATCATCCCCCCCCCCCCCGTTAGAAGGAATTTCGTCCCGAAATTAGAGTTTTGACTGGGACTTCAAGGGTTGGGGAAAAGATGTGGGTATTTTTGTTTCATCTGATCTTCGCGTTCCCAGGTGAACTCGGGTCCTCATTTAGCGTTCCATCGGACCTTCACAATGGGGATTCGACTTTGTTTTGTCCTTTTTATCTCCCGATCCATGATTTCTACCGGTTCTTCTACGAAGTGGAGATTCTCGTTGATCTCAATCTCGTCAAGAGGAATGACGAGAGTCTCATCAGACAAACACTTCTTTAAGTTGGACACATGGAAGGTAGGATGTACATTTTTGAGTTCTTGAGGTAATCGAAGCTTGTATGCTACCATGCCTATCCTGGCAAGGATCTCGAACGACCCGATATATGTCAACCCCCGAACCAGACGGCGGAAACGTCCGGGGGTTCGTGTGACTAACAATTGAATAATCATCACAATGAATATACATGAATCATAACACGATCGTCACCAACATTACATAATAAACCTCTAGCATTGTTCACATCAAGTACATTGTTAAAATACATACGTTCCGATTGTTAAAAGTACGATAAGTGTTGTTACATAAAACGAAACCATACACACTTGCAAATCTTCCAGCTTAACGGTTACCTGAGAATACAAGTTATTTTGAAAACGGTCAACATATATAATGTTGGTGAGTTCATAAGTATGTTTGAGTAAACGTCTTTGTATCTTTCATAAAAACCCAGAAATCCGATATTTTCTGTAAAATGTCTGAAAATGATGTAAAAATCAAGTATAAATGCATGTGTGAATCTCATAGTTATAACTTATATGAGTGTAGTTTAGATTCATTGTATTTTGAATAAATGATAAGTGTATATGAATAATTTCCCCAGAAAATCCGATATTTTATGCTTTATAACAACGTCCAGATTCTTGTATCGTTAAATAATTCATTTTGCATTGACACAATTAAAGGGTTTATCTTCAAAAGGTTAAACTTTTGGTATTGAATCCCTATATGAGCCGTTATAACCATACATGATAATGACTAGGTCGCCCGTCTTGGTATTTTTCCAAATGCCGGTCTTGCTAAGGATTTTGTCGCCCTAGACTGGCGTAGTCTAGCTGTAGCGAACATCTAAGGCGTTGGGGGTCACCCCGTATAGATCTATACACAAACTCCCGCTTTCCTACCAGGAAACTCTGATTATAACTACAGGCTACGATTGTACACTCGGAGGTGCCAACCGACATGTCTAACTAGATTCTCAACCCCTTTTGTACTATGCTTAATGTTTACGTATATGTGGTATGTTTTTGTATTCGAAATGTACATATGTAAGTATACGAAGTTTAATGATTACACAAAGGTATAATTACGGCCTACTAACATGTGAAATTTCCATTCCAAGCCCTATTAGCATGTAATTGGACCACAAAGGCCCAATAACATGTAAGAGGGTAATTTAGGCCCAATAGGCATGTAAATGGGCCACAAAAGCCCAATAAACATGTAATCCATAACTTAGGCCCAAATTAACATGTAAGTGGGTTGCAAGACCCAATAAACACGTCATGGAAAACATTGGGCTCAATACACACTTAATTGGGCTCTTAGGGCCCAATGGCCAAGTAACGTGTATATTAGGCCCAATAAATAGTTATCGACGTATTCCGTTCATTCGTTTTGTTCAGTTGTTTGTTTTAGCTCAAGGTTTACTAGATTGATGATAAGAAGCTTTCTTTTTGTAAAAATGACATTTTTGGCCAATAATCCTCCAATTTTTAATTAAGTCCCAAAGTTTTGTAAAAATGACACTTTAGTCCATGATTTATAAAAATTTGCAATTTTGTCCCAAATGTCTAAAAATTTACGGTTTTAGACCAAAAAGTTATATTTTCATATTTAGAACCCTGTTTTGCAGAAAAGTGCATTTTCAGCCCCTTGTTTGAAAAAATTTACACTTTCGGCCCAATTTTTGGAAAATTTTACATTTTTGGTCCAATTTGAAAATAAATGTTATTTTCACCTTTAAATTTGGTTTATTTACTTTTATGACTTAAACTCTGGCCAAATAACATTTTTAACCCCAAAACTTCATTGTTTTTTCGCAAATTGGGCCCAAAACCGTGAGGCCCAAAAGTTTTGGCCCATTAAGCTTAAATTTGCATTTTTGGCCCTTTTAAAGTATGTTTAACATAAAAACACCTTTTTATACATGTAGGACCTGTTTGGCCCTTATAAAAACATAAATGTCACTTTTTGCCCTTATCTTTTGTTTTCTTGACAATTTTGACCTTTAACAAGGTTTTTGTTGAAAGCTTTTGTATCTTAAACATGTAATCACTTTTGGCTTGATAATGTGATGTATATAGTGTCATAGTTCATAGATCTTTGCTAAATAATACTTAAAATTTCGAGATTTGCTAAGATCTAACACATTATTACCAAATAAACTAAGAATTCACACAAAACATGCATATAACACATAGATCTACACATTTTACTTGCATTCTCCCCCAATAATCATATGAAAACCGAAAACAAGGGGGTATGAACTCACCCTTGCTTGATGTTTCTGTTTTTGATGAATAAGTGGAAAGGATTTTTGGTCTTATCACACCTTTGTTGTGGATCTCGAGTTTATGAAGCTTCTAAGGTGTGATCATGAAATAAAAACCATGTAAGAAGGAGTTTTTCATATTAAGATGAAAGAAGATACTTGTGTTTGACAATAACTTACCAAAGATCTGAATGACTTGATGAAGATCCTTAGAACCCGAGCCAATTTTTGAGATCTTGGAGGAAGGAAGAGGATGATTTTAGAGAAGTTTGGAATTTTTCAAGTGTGTGTCTGTGTGTGTGTTTTGGCTCTCGGCCGAGAGTAGAAGAAGAAGAGAGGAGAGAGGTAGTGAGGTGACTAGCATGGATGTACGGGGGTCCTTGCATGGATACATGTTGAACAAAATGGAGGTAGCACCTCCAAAGTCAACCCCCCCATCTCATTTTTTTTTTGTTTACATGGGCTGAGATTTTGGGCCAAAAAGAAAGGGTGGAGTAGTTTGGGCCCATTAACTTTAGTTAGGATATTTGGATCCTAAACATAAAATTTTTCGGC